AGCTCTGACGTCCTAGTTGCAAACTCTCCAGTTAACCCCCCAGAGCTTGAACGGTTGAGCTCTGAGCCCCCCTAAACACAACCCCAAGCCCTAAACCCTAAAACCCTAAACCCTAAGACCCTGAACCCTAAAACCCTAAGACCCTAAACCTTAAACCGTGTGTGAAGTTTAACCAAAGCCCGGGAGTTATGATCTAATTGTCTTATAGCATAGCCCCATGGGGTTAAGAAGCATATTGGTTTGTTCCGGTTCTAAGGGCGGCTATGTTAAGCCCTAAACCTACACCCCCTAGACCCTAAACACTGAACCCTAAAGACCCCTAAACCTTTTGAATCCTCAACCCTAGGCATTAGTTCCAAACCCTTCAACCCCTGAATCGCCGGAGCCCTAATTTTAGGGCTTAGGGCTTAGAGGGCCTACATACCAATACTATTCTTAGGGCTCCTTTTAATAATTATAGTATAATATATGCCCCAAAACCTTATTCTAATTCTTAAGGCCCCTACATTACATCCCAACTTTTGAACCCTAAACTCTAAACCCTAAACCCTGAACCCAGAACCCTATTCAAATTATGAAGGCCCCTACACTAAAGCATACCAAACAAAAGCCGCTGCTTTTATGCCGAAGACCTAAACCCTAAACCCTAAACTCTAAACCCTAAATCCTAAACCCTAAACTCTAAACCATAAAGTGAGGTCTGGGGGGAAGGTCCGGGTCTTCCTGGACTCGGCCCCCTGGCGTTGGAAGGTTGGCACTGAAGGGTTTAGGGTTTTGGGGTCTAGGGTTTAGGGTTTAGGGGTTTAGGGTTTAGGGGTTTAGGGTTCGAGGTTTAGGGTTTAGGGATTAGGGATTAGGGTTTAGGGTTTATAGGGTTTAGGGATTAGGGTTTAGGGTTTAGGGTCCTACTATTATGGGTAAAATCTTAGGGTGCATTATTTTGGGGTCCTGATTAGGGTCCCCTAGTTTCGGAAACCTCCGGTTAGGATGTAGGTAGTTCCCTGAATTAGGGCCCTTTTCCGGTAGGTCATCAATACAGCAGGGTAGCCTTATAAAAAGGACCCTAAAAGGGACCCCACTTTCGAGAACTACCCATACTGTGGCTTAGGAGTGGTTTCTCATGGCAGGTTGTAGGAGCTCAGAAGCGTTCCGCTCCATAGGTTCGTACTTGTAGGGTTTTGTGGTAGGGTTCCTTTTTTTGAGGGGGGTTTGTAAGGGTGCTGATGCATTATTTGAAGGTTTTTCGGATTTAAATCTGATGTTACAGCGATTTGGTTGGATGGTTCTTGCCACGAATCTCCTCAATAATCCAACAACCGACCGTTGCCTTGGATATAGACTCTATAACTATGGGATCATGGCCTGCTGTGTTGTAGGGCTTACAGGGTGCATCTAAAGCTTAGGGGTTTCGAAAATTGCAGCTTCTTGTTGAGGATGTCAGTGTAAGATCCGGCAAGAGCAAAACATCAACATATGGGGGTTTCCGAAAATAGGGGACTCTAATATAGTACCCTAAATGATAGGATCCTTAATATAAGGACCCCAAAATAAGGTACCCCAATTTTCGGAAACCCCCATATCATGGCGGCCTGGAAGTGCCCCTGAACCCTAAACCCTACCCATAGGCCCTAAAGTTGTTCCTTTTGGGGGTTCATATATAGAATCCTATAAACCCAAAAAGGAACTACTCTGGGGCCTCTTGGTAAACATGACGGCCTGAAGTGCGGTGCACTATCCAGGACACAGTTTCATGGTCAGGGTTCGGAGGTTTGAGACTCTGTGGGATTGGGGCTTATAGGGTTTAGGGTTTAGGGTTTAGGTTTTTTTGGGCTTGGTGTTAAGAGGTTACGGCATGAGAACTTGCTGGTTGGGGATTTCGGCCTTTGGTTGAGTTTCATGTCGTTACCGCAGGCTTCAAGGCCTAGCAAAAACCCTACAAGTTTCCCCACAGCGGCGTTCAGCACTTGCGCAGACATCGGTTGCTACGAGTTTGCCACCCCATAAGCCCAGTTATCGCTAAAAAATAAGAACATGCATCTGTACACACATACATAATTGTATATCTGGTCAAGGCCTTGTGTATGTTTGGGTCAATAGATCCATATATGTATACTCAACCAGCCCCAAGGACGCTTGCCAACTAGGCAGGCAGGGTAAGTTGGAAGGTTAAAAAACCCACCAGGGTTTAGGGTTTACCTGGGGCTCGAATTACATACAGTTTTATGGTTTTACCTATTAATGAAGGGGTACTGGCTGCTAAACTGTAGGTAAAGAGAATTACAGGTAGGGCCTGGGCAGAGCGTGATAGAAAGCCTCAGAGAGGAGTCAAAAATCTTTCCAGATCCCTAAATCCTAGGTAGTATTAGGGAGACCCCTTAAAGGGGACCCTTCTTAAGCCCACGTTTGGCCCTCGTAAACGAGCACGTTGCTGAGAGCCTCTATATCCCCAAAGGTCCCCTAAATCCTAAACCCTAAACCCTATAAACCCTAACTCCACTAAAGTACGGAGCCTGGGCACGCAACCATGACCTATGTGAAGCCAAGGATGAGCTCGAGGGGCTCGCTGCAGCACGGCTGACGTCCGTTTGGGTTCTCTGGTTTAGGGTATAGGGTTTAGGGTGCGTAGTCTAATCCCACCCTATATGGCTCAATATCTTGAGAAAAACCTTGTAAGCATGATTTTATGGGTTGGATGTGGGGGGGAATCAATATTTTGGGGGTAGTTGTGTTGTTCGTTTGTTCCAGTTTATGGGGAACTGTTGTTGGCTTCGATGTCTTTATATCAGGAAGACCCGAAGTGACTAAATCCAAAGGGCTGTGGCTTTCAGAAAAGCTGGGAGCCTTTCAGTCAAAGATCCCACATCGCAAGATCCCCATTCTGCCACACTATACTACTATGAACCAAATATACTACAGTGTACAATATATTCTGCTCTACAGGACACCCCAAAGCCCTAAACCCCAAACCCTAAACCCTAACTACAAGACAGTCAGCTATCTCAGAAGCGTCTTGGTTTCGGGCTCAGGCCCAGGCATACGGTCACGGCAGTTAGGAACTTGGAGGACCCTATCATAGGGTTTAGGGTTTAGGGTCTGGGGTCTAGGGATCAGGATTTGGGGCTCAGGGATTAGGGTTTCGGGAAAAGAGTTTAGGGGCTTGGGGTTTAGGCGGTTTAGGGTATTAGGGTTTAGGGGTATGTAGAGAAGCCAGGTAACCAAAAGACCAGCATCCAACAAGAAACTGTGAGTTTAGGCCTTTGGGTTTAGCGTTGTAGCCTAAAGCCTAAACGCTACACCTCAAATGCCTGTTGGTGACTTCCTTGAGCTTCTACTTGGAGGATCATGGGACTTAGTAAGTAAGGCTATAAGTCCCCTAATTGGGGTTATAAGTATAGTTACCTTTGTTTATAACCCTGCTTACTAAGTCCCATGATCCTTCAAGTAGTTTGCCTTTGGAGCTTCAGTTGGTGAGGAAGGGGTTGTCAACGCATCTTGTAGATGAAGGGCCCCACCATATGGGTGACAGGAGGCATGGGGTGCTTCTTCACCCTGCGAGCCCGATACCCCTGAATTGAAGAATGTGCTGAACATACTCATAGGGTTTAGGGTCTAGGGAGAATATTCAGCCCCATAATCTTAAGGTATATTCTTCATTGCTCTAAGGACTTTAGGAGGGACCCCTAGTAGGGACCCTTAATCCCATTACCTTAAATAACCATGGTGTAGTCCTTATATACCCCTTATATAGCCATGTAGTCTCCATATTAACCCCAATAACCCACACGGGTCCCAAATAAGGGTCCCTCCTAAAGCCCTTGGAATTGTTCTCTCGGGCCAGACCCATGGGGCTGGTTGGTGCAGGCTGTTTCAAAATGGCTTCAGAGGTCAAGGGCCTGGTGGTGACTCGCAACCGGATGGTGGGGCGCAAGGGCTTTAGTTTGGGAATGAACATCTCAGGTCCCAGTTGGATGGAGAACTTAGATGCCTATTCAGTTTCCGAAGCAATGAGGCTTCCAGGGATTTGAAGTTGAACCTCCGCGATCTTGTCAAGGACATTGGCGATATCGTCAAAAGCCAGACGTCCGTGCTGGTCATTGCAGCCACCAAGTTGGTGCTGACGCGCCATGGCACACGGAGTCAAAAAAGAAAGCAACGAGCTGAGCTCAAGACACCTTCTCAGAATTTGCTTCTGGGATCTTGTGACGTCCTCAATATAATGCCTTACATGCTATCCAGAGTGCTCGTGTTTTGATGTTATTGGTTTGTACTAACCCCAACCCCGATCGCCGTTGGCCATCGCGCTGAATCGCGCTATGACACCGTGTCCTCGAGTCTCCGCGTTTCGGTCGCTTTGCTAGGACTCCAACTCGAAATCCTTATATAGCATACTGAACACACACATACACAAACCACAGACCCCAAGCCTCCATCAGCATCATGTCATTTGCAGCGACATTGTCATCAAATGCGTGTCAACCATCATAAGTAGCCCACTGCTGCAGTAGAACATTTGGAGCGGTACCAACCCTAGGACGCTCCGCATGGACTAATTACCCCATGAACGACCATGCCGATTGCGGTTCCAACTCCATACTGTTAGTACATCCGGACCCTCTAACTAGCTTATCCTTCTATCCAAGGCGCCCCTGGTGCGCTGTGGAGGTGGCCACTGCTGTGCGCAATAAGATCGACATCGTTATGGACGCTGGGATTGAACGGGCTTCGGGCTTTAATGTTTGTATAGGTGTCCTGCAAGAGTCAGAGTTGCAGGATCTTCATATACGGGTTCTGCACAGGCTTTGGAGTTTGGGGCTCTTCGGGTGCAAAAAACTGTTTAGTTCAATATCTGGGTTGTTGAGGGTTTTGGGGCTTTGCATAGGTCCCATCTCTCGTCTTCAGAATTTCGCAAAGAATTGTATTCCCTGGACCCCATCTGTAAACCCGACAAGCCCGAAACCTGAACCCTCCAAGCCCCTGGAGCTTACGCTGCGTAATGTTACGGGTTCTTGCCGCACCCTATATAGACCCTAAACCCTAAACCATTAAACTAAACCCCACAGCGTAAGTCTGTAACACCAACCCTACTTGGAGGATCATGGGACTTTGTAAGTAAGGTTATAAGTCCCCTGATTGGGGATACAAGTATAGTTGCCTTAGTTATAACCCTACTTACTAAGTCCCATGATCCTTTTAGTAACTCGTAGGTTCCCATGCCCGAAACCCAAAATTCGTACTCGGGTTTCCCCCCCCAGGAGTCGAAGGTTCCATTAGAAGCTCGAAGGATTGAATTGGAGCATTTACCCACAACCCTACTATAATCACTAAGGCCCCTACATTACAGTGAGGGTCTTCGCGTCTAGCGGCTTCAGGATTCAGAGTCTAGGTCTGCGGGTTGAGGGTTGACAGGGTTGAGTTCAGAGTTTAGACTGTGTAGGGTTCGCCCCCGCAGTCTTCGTAGATCTCTTTGTAACCCTCTACCCTTCAACCCTAAACCAGGTATCCTTTGTTAGCAGGGTTTGGGTAGCGCCGCGCGCTTCGCCGAAGCAGGAGCTGAACAAGCCGAGACGATGAAACATGGGATCATATCGAGGGTTGGAGCCAGGGGTGCTGCATGGATCTTCAGAAGTCTGGGGCCTTGCAGCAGCAGGAGAGAGATGACTGATCTTATGAAGCAAATCTTGGCACGTGATTAAGTACGAGGCCGTCAACCCCCAGTTCCGACAACACCACCGTCATAAATCTGCAATGCTGCAGCACTTTGATTGAATCCTTTATACAATCCTGACAAGGCCTTTCAAGAAGCACGATTAGCCAGATGGAGTTAAACCCGGCACCCTAACCCTTCAAACACACAACCCCAAGAGCCCTAGCCGTGATACAACGTTCTACGACCCTCTAGAGTGGATAGACGCTGCTGTGGCTGTGGTGGCGGGGATGTCGGGCCACGTTGGTCATAGTTTTGGTGGAGTCTCTGCTGTGTGTTATTCCTTTGTTGCCTTTGGCCTGGAGCATGCCCGTATTTTACTCTATGAAGCTTTTTGCAGGTCTGCAAACCAGAGCATGGACAACCCCACATTCAAATAGATACGGACCCTCGCAGTGCAGACAATGTCCGGGAATATGGGTCCTGGCGCAGCTGCCTTACTACAGGTGTTGATTCTTGAAGACTACGCTGAAATTCCTGTGCGCCACAGCCGCGCCTCCGCATCCGCTTCCTAAGTGGTTGGGAGCGGCTATTTTGGGCTACTGCGCCTGCGGTCTATGTCGTGCAATGTGCGGCCCCGACTATGAACAATACGATCAAAAACGCAGAGAACGCGAAAAGGCCAAAGAAGAAATGGAGAGAATCATCAACGCAAGGCTTCGTTCTGGCGATTTCCAATTGGTGGTAACCATCCAGCATTCGCAAAATGGCTGAAGGTGCACCGATGTCTCGCCCGAGCTGTTCGAACAATGCCGGTGCTGAAATGGGCTCTCCGCCTCACACCCACCGCGGACACATTAGTGTGTACGCGATGGTGTATGCTTACCGTGTGTGTATATATATATATATATTGATATATTATGTCCTGCGCATGTGTCTTGATTGCACTCGGCGGGATGAGTATTTTCCCAAGGCGCACAGACAGAACATGCAAAGGCGCCGAAAAAGCGGGCATCCTTGACAACCCGTAGATTCTGCGGCTGGAACTTCTACATGAGTGCAACGACCATCTGGGCAGAGGCACAGTGGCTAGTAAATGGGGTTTCGCAGCAGCTTGTCGGCCGGCAGTAGCATTGCCCAAGGCTAAACCAAAACCGTTGCAGCAACCCGTCAAGGCACCATATGAGAAACCTTAATCATAGGAAAACTTCAGCAAACCCCGTAAAGCCCTATAAGCAGCTATAAGCAGCACATTTTCCAACCAAAAAAACTCCTTTAGCAATGCGTGAGTAGCTTAGGTGAAGTGTTCAGACTTCAGCTTCTACGACGAGGAGGGATTTCGAGAGCTTCGCCAAGGCAGCCCCAGTCGGCGATGCCCTGTCCTTCGTTGGCTTGAGGGGTTTAGGGCTTAGGGTTTCGGGCTTTAGGTTTTAGAGTCTTGTTGACCGGTGTCTGCATTATGTGTTTTGTTGCATTCTAAAGTTGCTTCTGTCATTATGTTTTCTTATGCTAGTTGGGTTCCTAAACCCTCAACCCTAAACCCTAAACCCTAAACCCTAAACCCTAAACCCTAAACCCTAAACCCTAAACTGTACTTTGATGTTGGCGGTCCATGATGTTTTGGGTAGGGGATCTTGAGGGCTTCTGTTCGTTGAGCTTTAGGAGTTTTGGGCTGCGGGCTCAGGTGCTTGGGGTCATTTACTTAGGGTTTAGGGTTTAGGGTTTAGGGTTTAGGGTTTAGGGTTTAGGGTTTAGGGTTTAGGGTTTAGGGTTTAGGGTTTAGGGCTTTAGGGCTTTAAAACTTATAGGTCTTCTTTAGTTCAGCCTGTTCTTCGAGGTTTAGGGCGCAGGATTGAAGATGCAGGATACAGTTCTTGCTCTTTGCTTTTCCCTAGAAGGCCCATGTTCTCAGTCCCTATGTCAACGCTGTCGCCTCGGCAGGGCTTTAAAGATTCGCGGTTCAAAAAACAACCGTTCACCTATGCAGGCCAAGCTCAATTACGGTGTGGACATGACCCTAGGAGTCCGAATGCGTCAAAACAATGTGTTCTCCGAAACACTAGCCTGTAAAACGACGGTCCTCAACCCAAGAACTCAACTATTAGTGTCTTTAGGCCTTAGGCTTTGGGGTTATATCCTTCCGGCTCAAGGTGTGGAGGTTTCTGGGTACACGGCCTTCTGATCTCCCATTGAAGCTTCCGCCAAGGTTCCCCAGACTCTAGTACCTTCTCGCCTGGAACCACTAGTCTATTAGATCTTTGGTGGAGTCTTTAAGGGCGATGAGTCCGACTCTGGCATAAGCTTTACCTCGGGGGTCCAATGGCTTAAACAGTACGTACTTCGGCAGCTTTCATGTAGTTCAATCAGGTACTTGATCCAACTTTAGGACCCAAGTACATACCATATGGGTACACGGACTCCTGGGGTTAACGTGCAGAATCCTACCCTACCAACTGGCAGCGTCTGATCCCAGCATTCTGCTCGCCAGGAAGGTTATGAGAGGTTTATCATATAGGTCCTATAGGCCTTTGCGGCGCAAGATCTAGAAACTAAGAAGATCCATTGCTGATTCATTGTCGTATAGCATCATGCCTAGATCGGGTTCGTCGGAAAGAAAACTGTTTTGGGAGGTCATGCAGCTGCGAGTAAAGATGTTACGCTTTGGGCCGTCTGTTTTGCAGCTCCGAATAAAAGTGTTCCGTTGTAGGCTGTCTTCTTTAAGCTGCAAATCCTGAGCCCCACACCTCAAACTTCGATATCCTACGTATACTCATAAGCTGTTAAGGCAGTGTTTGCTGTCTGTTTTTTTGTCTACACGTTGTCCAAGCTGGATTCCGACGTGACGGGGTTTCGAGGTGATGCATTTCAGCCGTTTCCGCTTTTGGGTTTAGACTGTCAGTGGCAGGTTATGTTTGTCTTGCCCCTTCTCGCATGCATCTACTATACGTTTTCTTTTCTACCGATGCAAAGCAAACCCACATCCTGGCATTTCAGCCTCATCCCCCCGCATCTTACCTGCCAGCAGACCTGTTTTCGTGATGGGGTCCTGCAAAGAAACCTAATTAACCACGTACTGTACGTTAATGCATACTACAGAGTTAGTTGAGTCCCTCCAACCTTTTAAAAGCCTAGCTGTACCCGTAACCCTGTAGCTCACTAAATAGGCAATAACTGCGCAGCCCTGGTTGTAATTCCTCACGGGCTCTGTAGCTTACCGCAAACGAACCAGGATGAATCGTGGATCACGCACGTGTTGAAGTCACGAAAATGCTCCACTCGCCCAACGAATGCCTTTGATTTCTGCATCTTCATGCAATTACATGCGATACAGAGATAAATCCTCAAGCCTGAAACCCCTGAACCGTAAACCACAGATACCTAAAGCTCAAAAGCCTGCAATGCTAAACCAAACCCTATAGAAATGCAGAATGCAAGCGCCAGCATATGGACAGATAGATACAACTATAGCTGATAATATTGCAAGTATGCATGTATGTATGTATGTATGTATGTATGTATGTATGTATGTATGTATGTATATCTGTGTATATATATATATATACATGTATTTATTTATTTATTTAAGCTATATTTATATTTATTATGCATAAATTCACATATGTCTATTTCTACATAGATTATGCACGTATGTACGTGTACATGTACATATGTATACGTATGTCATGTGTCTGTATAATATCCATATACGCACATTTTGTGTCTTCGTTGTTCATTCGTTGATGCATGCGTGCATATGTATTTATAGTTTTATTTCTTCAGCCAGTCTCGGTCGAGTCCGTTGCCCGATCCTGTTGCAGGGTGGACTAGCGCAGACATCTTGATCTTCGCACAGAACGCGTTGGACCCAGCCATTGTGGAGGACGCGAACTTTCAGAGCGCGAAGCTCGCGTCGAAGCCTTGCGCTGCCGAATCTAACCCTTGTATCGGCTTGTCCTCAGCATTGTCGTTTTGTTGATGTACTAGTGCTATTATGGGTGCAAGGGGTTAATGGTACATGGAATTGAGAATAGGGCTCTTAAGCCCTCCTCCCGAGTTATTACCCAGCAATAGAAACTTGCAACATGTCTTTGTATAGCGAAAGGACTTCCTAAGCGCCAAGCTTGAATCGAAACCTGACCCATAGACCGCTCATCAATTCACCCCCTGTCTTTACGAGCCTGAGTTTTCGGATCCCTGTTGAAATCCGTTCTAGAATCTAAATCCCCAAACCTTGTAGCTTGTAGGGTTCCCAAAACCCATAAAAGCCGCGAACCTTGAGAGGAGAGCTACCGGCAATTGCCTTCCGTGCGTACCCTGGACTTCGATGCATTTGCAGACCCAAGTGACCTTGGCAGCAAAGTCCGGGGTTTAAGGCGGTTGCAAGTGGATCAGCCAAGGGTCTACGGACGTAAGCATTCGGGCTTTTCGGGCCTACATACCGCACTGTGGGAGGACTTTCGTGTTTCAATTGGTAGTGGGGGGGCAACACTAGAGCAAGCATGAACATGGATGAACCCTGAAGCCCAACTCCAAAGCTCAGAAGATAAGCCCTTGACCGGCCAAGCCCCAAACCCTAAAACACACCGCAAACCCCGAATCCTAACCCCTAAACCCTAAACCTTAATTGGAGAATGAAACTGTTCTACATTGGGCACCCCGAACCCCGAATCCCTAGCAGAGGGACCTTAGACCCTAGACCCGAAGCCCCAAGCCTTTAAAGGGTTTAGGGTTTAGGGTTTAGGGTTTAGGGTTTAGCCCCAAGCCTTTAAACCCTCAAACCCTCAACCGGCCAAACATGTGATCCGAGCCACCTTGGGTAGTTTTCCAAATTAGGGTCCCCTTTTTAGGTCGCCAATATACTATGGCACCCCTTATAAAAAGGACCCTCCCAAAAGGACCCCCCAATTTAGAAAACTACCCATATACTCCCAACGTTAGGATGCGTATGATAGTGCCTCAAGGTCCCTCATAGTACGTAGTCCCTATAACCCATTCCCCCATTCCCTACTAAGCACCAGACAGTCGAAGGC